CATAATCCCGAGGCAGACAGTGATGATTTCTTGGTACTAGGACAAAATGTTACAGCACCTTGAACCTTGCCTCTCCATTTTGTTTGAAATGTCAGCCAGGTGGTTTTCTCTGAAGTTAACGTTGCCAAGATAAATCGTTTTACTTCAATTTTTTTCAACACATAATAGTAAAAGATGTGAATACACTAATACTTCTGGCTTAAGGATGGTTTTTAGTCCCACATAAATGCTGGTGACTAGTGAGAGTTTTCCGTTTAAATATAGTAAGCCTAGGCTTTTTAAAAAAGCGTAAACCTGGCAAAGTGGGTGTATTCATTTCCTATGGCTACTGTAACAAATTACCACAAATTTGGTGGTTTAAAACAATGCAGATTTATTCTCTTAACGATCTGGAGGTCAGAAGTCTGAAATCCGTTTGAGGGGACTGAAAATGTAAGCAGGAACATGTTCCCTCCAAAGGCTTGAGCAAAATACTTAAGTGAATTACTCACAGTTACATGATTAGTCAAGAGCATCCTGTGGACTTTATTCAGGTTAAAAAAAAAAAAAAAAAGAATAAAAAAAGGTAGTGATAACTCAAAACCTTAATACAAATCTGATTGCTAGCCTGTACCCAACTTGGTTCTACAACTATGACTGATGAAAATGTGGAAAGTGTTTCTGTAAGACTACACAAAACCATCCCATTGCCGCGTGCAGGATGTATCTCATCTCAAATTAGGTTCACAAAAGCCAAGAATATTGGAAAGCTTGGAGTACAGATTGGGTGAGGCAGCGTACATCTGAGAGAGTACATTTCTGTTGTGCACAGTTTATACCCCCAGTGAAAACCATTTTGGGCATGGTTGCCTTGGGATGGTCCATCACAAATTGTGCCATCCCCTTTGGTCATGTCTAAGGAAAAGTTGGCATAAGGCATGGGAGCAAAAAGGAAACTGAACTAGACAGACTAAAAATGCAGCACATTCTTTACAGGAAGGTCGTGTGACTTGAGCGCACTGTTTAACTAGGAATACATGAAATTGAATTTGATGCCTGTAAAGTCCAATCCCCATGGAATGGCATGCGAACAATTATGCAGCAGGGACATAGGATTCAGCCACTACTGTCCCACGAGGGCACACAGTCTGTTAAAATTACATCAAATGGTCACTGAGGTACCCAGGCAGTGCTTCTCACCCACTAACTGTACAAGAAGTATCAGAATAAAACAGTACTGGGGCTTTTAAAAAATCAGTTCATTTCCTTGCTAGGCTAGGGAACTCAGACCAATGAAGATATTCATAGTTGTTGGTGGGGAGGGGAGGAGGAGTAGGGAGAGAAGGGATGTCAAGAGTTTTGAAGTGATAGAAAAGAGGGTGCACAATTTCATGGTGATTATGCTAATTAAGGGTTAAAAATCACCACTCTGTATGGGACAGAATAAGTGCATTTGTGTCTATCCAATTGGTTAACATAAGTCTCCATTGGTCAGGAAAGTCTTCAAGTTGGGCCCAGTAAGACTGGCGTACGGGGATCACTCAGAAGTCATGGATCTTAACAGCTCTAGTGGAAGCAACCCACAAGTCAATGGATGAATATATAAGCAAATGTGGTCAATCCATACAATGGAATATTATTCAGCCTTTAAAAGTAAGGAAACTCTGGCATGTCCTGCAACATGAACGAGCCTTGAGGACATTAGGCTAAGTGAAATAAGTCAGTCGAAAAAAGACAAATACTGTGATTCCATTTATATAAGGTACCTAGAGTGGTCAAGTTAGTGAAGACAGTAGATTGCAGGTTGCCAGGGGTTTTAACAGCATTTGTTGAAACAAACAGCATTCAGTTAGAGATCTGGATTACTGCTGCTGAGTGGAAAGTTTCTCTTTTACAGAAACATAAAGCATTTTATCTAAAGAATTTTCAAAACTGAAAACTGCTTTTAAAAAATGTCTTGGCTCCAGGGGCGCCTGGGTGGTTCAGTTGGTTAAGCAACTGCCTTCGGCTCAGGTCATGATCCTGGAGTCCCTGGATCGAGTACCGCATCCTTCGTCCTCTGACCCTATCCCCTCTCATGTGTTCTCTCTCTCTCATTCTCTCTCTCTCAAATAAATAAATAAAATCTTTAAAAAAAAAAAAAAAGTCTTGGCTCCAAAATCACAGTCCTGTATATCAGTATTCCTCATTTATGGAATAGCTTGAGTAGGCTTTCAGAGTAGAGAAAACAGCACTTTCTCTGGTGCAAAGATGACCATCTGGAGGACCCTGCAGTGGACTCTCTCCAAGGACTCACTAGCCCCTTCCCATGGAGCACACAGTTAAATAAGGAAGTAGTGTAAGACATCATTTTAAGAATTGGGCATATTGAGGTTTTTTAAATAAAATTTTTAAATATGCATTTTTTAGGGGTATCTATGGGACATTTACAAATGTTAATCATATCTTATCCAATACAGTAGCCACTAGCTACATGTGACTACTGAGCACTTGAAATGTGGCCAGTCCAAATTGAGATATGCTGTAAGTGTAAAGTACATATCAGATTTTGAAGACTTACTATGAAAGCAAAAGAATATAAAATATCTCAATAATTTTATATTGAGTATATGTTGAAAGTATGTTTAGATATATTTGATTAAGATATAATTAATTTTAGCCCTCTTTTTGCCTTTTTTGTAACATGTCTACTAATTTTTTTAATTATATATATGGCCTGCATTATACTTCCATTGGGCAATTCTGTACTGGACCACAAAGAAAACCTATCAAATTATTTAATGTAGGGATTTCATAAGAAACATTCTCTGATTAAAACCTAAAATAATTAGAAAAAAAATAAGAGAGAGATAGCTAAAATAAATTTTAACTATGTGGGAATAAACAGGTTTGAAGATAGCTGTGGACTTAAAGAAAGCCAAACCAGAAAATTAAATGACCAAAAACAAAAGAAAGAAAAAAATATGATTAGTGCCAAAACCTAGGAGACATAGAAAGTGTCCTATGAACTTCAATGTTTCATTATTAAGAAAACTCTTACAGAAAGGAACTTAATGCTTACCTAAGGAAAATTAGAAAAATAACTATAAAATAAACCAAAAGACACAAGAATGACAATCATTAATAAAAAGCAAGCTGGGATTAATGAAATAGAAAACAAAAAGAGTAAAAAGAATAAGCAATTCCCAAAATTATTTCTTTGAGAAAACCAGCAAAATAATTTCACCCATCATAAAAAAATGTTTTTAAGTTGACTCCATGCCCAGCATGGAGCCCAACGTGAGGCTTCAGTTCACGACCCTGATATCAAGACCTTAGGTGAGATCAAGAGTCGGATGCTTAACTGACTGAGCCACCCAGGTGCCCCGAACCCATCATAAATCTTAAAGAAGAAAGAAAAGGAGCAAAAATATGAAAGACTTAGGCTTTGATCTTTCATACTTGGAGAAAATTTCCATAAACTACTTAAAAGAAGTCACATTTAAGGGTAAACCAAACCAAATAAATAAGAGTGACAAGACCTCAAAGTAAAAAAAAATGTAGTGGAATAAAAGTGATAATGGTATGCCTATCACATATAATACTTGAGAATTTCAGTATAAACGATCTCTCGTGTACCCAATAAATTTGGCACAAACATATCTAAAGGTCTTCAGATGACATACCTTGTCCTGCTGGGCACTTTTTAAATAATGATAATAGAAAATACTTACTGTGTATTCATTGTGACAATAGTGAGGCCCGAATAGTTAGGTCACTTGCTCACCTGCCCATTCAGCTAGAAAAATGGGAGTGAGAATTTGAAACAGTGCAGTTAACTCCAGAGAATATATTCACATAGGAAAACTAAAAGATGCAGCCACTCTGGAAAACAGTATGGAGTTTCCTCAAAAAGTTAAAAATAGAACTACCTTACAATCCAGCAATCGCACTACTAGATATTTACCTAAAGAATACAAAAGTACTAATTTGAAGGGAATCCATGCATCCTGATGTTTATAGCAGCATAATCTACAAAAGCCAAATTATGGAAAGAGCCCCAATGTCCATCAATAGAATGGATGATAAAATAAAGTAGGTGAATGGATAAAGACGTGGTATAGGGGCGCCTGGGTGGCGCAGTAGTCCAACTCTTGATTTCTCCTCCTAAGATCCCCTTCCCCTTTTAGACTCTGTTCTCTTCATCACTGCCCGCCCCCTTCACTGGGTTTATAGGCTCATAGTTTGATCTTCCAAGTCCCTCCCACCATCCTTCGATGACTTCAGCATCCTAAGTATAAGACCTATCCAACCTGCAATCCAACTCTGATTGTCCCCATGTTATATCCCTGACATCAACTCCTGGTCAGAAAACTTGTCAGCACAGCTCCATCTCTAAAAAGTTGAACTCACTTACTTCTTTCTTGGACCACACAGACCCCTTCTTATCTCTTCCACATTGTCTCACTTCCACTTAATTTATTCAAGCTCTCTGACACGTCTGCTTCCTTTTGGTGTTTAGGTCTCCTGTGATCAGATCACACTCTAGTCCCTTCCGAGACAGGGCCACTAAAAACTATCGTGTCAACAAACGCAATTTGCTGGTTCCTTTGTCCTTCTCCTCAACAAGCAAACACCCCACAAGCAAAAACCCCTGATGGATCAGCTCACAACTCAGCATCCCTGCTCCTACACAGTCGGAGAAAATTGCACAACCACGAAAAAGGTGCCTTTACGAAAGGACAGTCTTGGTTGACTCACACCAGTGCTTGTCAATCCTATCACAGACCGGCACCCCTGCCTCTCATTTCTTTTGGTGACCATTGCAAACCTTTACTACCCTAGTGGAGGTACTTTAACGTTTATCTCACCGAACTGTTAGGAGAATGAGAGGTAGAAATCTTAGAAAGACTGGCAGATAAGTAAGCACCTGGAAGTAAATTAAAAACAAAAACCAAGCAAACAAAAACAACAACAACCAAAAAAAAAAAAAAAACGTGTTCCACCTGGAACATTGATTGGACATAAGCACCAATACAGACCTGAGACAATGGCTTCCTGTGGCCACAGTTTATACCCCCAATGAAGACCATGTTGGGCATGATTGGCCTGGGGTAGTCCAGGACGAAGTCTCCTCGGAACAGCCACATGGATGCGAAGCTGAAAACGTCCACCACTGACACCTCTCTCTGAAGAAGCTCAGACGCAAGGCTTGCATAAGGAGTGAAAGAGATGTGGCAAATGTACTTCAGGGCCAGAGGGTAGAGCATGTTCTTGACCCTTTGCGGGAACGTCATGTGGTCTGAATTCATTGTTAATAACCTGGGAATATAGGAGGAAGGGTTTGGGCACCGTGTGCCCTCAAAATCTAAGCCACATGGAATGGAACGCAAGAAAAACACAGCAGGTAGTGACAGGTACTTAGCTAGTACTGCTCCACAGGGGTAAACGGGGTCAGTTAAAACCACATCGAAGGAGCTGGCATTCAGCTGCCTGACCAGCTCCTTGTTACGCAGGAGCTCCTCACAAGACCTTTGAAAAACCAAAGCAACACTCTTTAAACTTTCCACAGAGTTCCAAAACATCTTTAGAAAATGCATTCTTTCAAAAACCAGGTAAGTCTGGCCCAGCAGGAGATGATTAAATTCATCCTGGGTGTATGGAATGGCATAGGTAGTCAGGGTGAAAAAATCCTCTTCTTTGATATGCATGTTCAACTCTGGCGAAACGACCACCATTTGGTGGCCTCTGCCATGGAGTTCCTGCACGGCCTCCTTCATGCTGAGCCAGTGGCTGCCATCCATGGGCACCACCAGCACCTTCCCACCTTCAGCCCCCGGTTGAACGCACAGGAAGAGCAATAGCCCCACGAGTGCTGGCAGGGGAACCAGGAATCTTGCGGCCATGTCCACAGAAGCCCGAAGCAGCTGACTTTGCAGACCAGGCTATGCCTCCTACGCCTTTATTTCCTTTGTCTTTATCTTATCATTGAGCCACTTAGAGTGGCAGGTAACTGGCAGGCAGCATGCCCTCCTCGTGTTAATCATTACATACTAGATCTATCCCTCGCTTTCACCACCGGCCTTACCCTTCTGCTTCCACGCAGGGAGAGATCAATCTCCCTTATCACGGAAAAGCTCATCTGCCTTGGCTGCTCTCTCCAGGGAACACTCTAATTCACTCTGTTGCTTTTTATCCAGTTCCCAAAACAGGGCTGTGGATGCCCATTTCATTTGATGTCCTCCTATTTCTGAGCTCTGAGGAGTCACCAATGCCCCAGCCTCCAAGTGTAACCTCTCTGTTGGATGTGACCTTACCTGAAATCTCTAAAACTCTTTCCTCCCATGTATGGGGAACATGGAGCCCACCCAGAAGAATATATAACATTGCTAAGACAGCTTTCTCTAAACAGGAAGGGAGGCACTAGCCCTTTGATTCTGTTCCTTTTCCACACCAGGACATCTCTTCCAATGGTCAGGGATCTACTCGAAGCAGCCATCAAATATGGAAATATTTCAAGGATCCTGCGCTGGAGACATGAGGACAACACAAGGGTTTGTTGAGGGTTCTGTATTTACTTCGCAGAATAAGAGTTGCTGTTATCTAAAGCGTAAATGGGCAAGACAACCCTCATCAATGACACAGTGGGACCAGAGAGCACCCTCCCCCAGAGCCTGCTTTCCTCAGAACAAGAGGTAGTGGTCACCCAGCCTCGGGTCAAGCTCTGACTCCACTCCTCTTCTCCAGTCTTCTACTACTCTGTTTAGGGACAGGGGTCTTTCACTAATAACTTCCTTACCCCACCCTCCTTCCCATGAAAACCACCCTTTCATACAATGCCTCAGAGCTCCCCTCTACTTCCTGGATGGGATGTTGCCCAATTCATGAATCCTTAATAAAGCCAATTAGATCTGCAAATTTACTCAGTTGGATTTTTGTTCTTTAGCAACTCTAAGATAGAAATCTAGACAGAATAAATAAGGAGACGGGATGGGAAGATTTAACATTGTAATGCTCCTGACACTCTTTCCCAAGGCCCATTTCTTCAGTTTCCTGGCTGGTTCACCAATTGTTGGCTCACGAACTGGCCACCATACACGGAGGGTAAGGAGAGACTAAAGAAAGAGGCAGGCCACTCCAGATGGTGGGTGGCAGGGGTAATAAGGAAGGGAACTCACTCACAGGGCTTGTCTTGAGTGGCCACAAGACCAGAGATCTCTGCCCCTGCCTGCCAAATCTTAAAAGTTTACATAGAGGCCTTAACTGGGTTCAGTCATCTATACGATCCAGATAGTATACCATCAACAACACCAGACTCTCTCAAGGCTACATCCTTGGAAACAGCTCCCACTGGAGAATGGTGGGCAGAACATACATCCCAAGGACAGCGAAGGAGCTGAGAAGCCGCCAATTGCCTGTCCAGCCCCCAGGTAAACCAGCATGAGCATCCTCCCAATTACTCCCTCCAACACTCAACAACAACAAAAACAAATTTTTTAAAAAAGATTTTATTTATTTATTAGAGAGCGAGCGAGAGAGAAACAGCATGAGAAGGGAGAGGGTCAGAGGGAGAAGCAGGCTCCCCGCTGAGCCAGGAGCCCGATGCGGGACTCGATCCCAGGACTCCGGGATCATGACCCAAGCCGAAGGCAGTCGCTTAACCATCTGAGCCACCCAGGCACCCCAAAAACAAATTTTTTAACTAAACAAAAGATTTGAATAGATTATTGTCCAAAGAAGATATAAGAACAGTCAACAAGCTCAACATCAATAGTCATTAGGGAAATGCAAATAAAAATGAGATATCACCTCTTGCCCACTAGGATAGCTATAATAAAAAATTTTAAATGCAAAATAACAAGTGTTGGCAAAGATGTGGAGAAACTGGAATATCCATACCTTACTTGTAGGAATATAAAATGGTGTAGCCACTATGGAAAACAGTTTGTCAGATCCTCCATAAGTTACACATAGAAATACTATCTGATCCAGCAATTCTGCTCCTGGGGATATACTCAAAAGAACTGAAAACAACTGTTAAACAAAAACTTGTCCACAAATGCTCATAGCAGCACTATTCACAATGGCAAAGAGTGTAAACCCATCAACTGATGACATAAATGTCCAGCAGCGGGCGCCTGGGTGGCTCAGTCGTTAAGCGTCCACCTTCGGCTCAGGTCATGATCCCAGGGTCCTGGGATCAAGTCCCACATCGGGCTCCCTGCTTGGCAGGAAGCCTGCTTCTCGCTCTCCCACTCCCCCTGCTTGTGTTCCTGCTCTCGCTATCTCTCTGTCAAATAAATAAATAAAATCTTTAAAAAATAATAATAATAAAATAAAATAAATGTCCAGCAGCAGAGGCACCTGTCTGGCTCCGTCAGAAGAGCATGTGACTCTTGATTTCGAGATGGTGCGTTCAAGCTCCACATTGGATGCAGAGATTACTTAAATAAATAAAACTTAAAAAAAAAAAAGAAATGTCCATCAACTGATAAATGTACAAACAGTGGTCCATCCACACAATGGAATATTATTCAGCCATAAAAAGAAATGAAGTACCAGGGCACCTTGGTGGCTCAGTCCATTAAGCGTCCGACTCTTGGTTTTGGCTCAGGTCATGGTCTCAGAGTCCTGGGATGGAGCCCCGTGTCAGGCTCCACACTCAGCAGGGAGTATGTTCCAGGATTCTCTCTTTCCCTCTCTCTCTCTCTCTCTTGCCCCTCCTCCCCCAAATAAATATATAAATCTTATTTTTTAAAAAAAAGGAATTAAGTACCAACACATTCTACAACATGGATGAACCTTGAAACACTACGTTAAGTAAAGAAGTCAGAGGGCGCCTGGGTGGCTCAGTTGGTTAAGCGACTGCCTTCGGCTCAGGTCATGATCCTGGAGTCCCGGGATCGAGTCCCGCATCGGGCTCCCTGCTCGGCGGGGAGCCTGCTTCTCCCTCTGACCCTCTCATGCTCTATCTCATTCTCTCTCTCAAATAAATAAATAAAATCTTAAAAAAAAAAAAAAAGAAGTCAGATACAAAAGGCCACCTATTGTACAATTTCATTTCTGTGAAGTATCTAGAATAGGCAAATCTATAGACAGAAAGCAGATTGATGGTCACTAGGGGTTGGGGAGGGCAGAATGCAGAGTGACTACTTAAAAGGTATGTGCGTTTCCTTTTGGGGTGACTAGAATCTTCTGGAACTAGATAGTGGTGATGGTGTACATGCCAGCTATACTAAACACTACTGAATTGCACACTTTAAAATGGTGAATTTTATTTTATGTGTATTTTGCTGCAATAAAACAAATGGAGCAGGCACTTTTAAAAAAATCTGGCAGTTCCTAAAAGATAAAACATAGAGTTATCACACAACCCAGCCATTCCACTCCTCGGTACATACCCAAGAGAATTGAAAACATATGTCCACATAAAACTGGCACGTGAATGTTCACAGCAGCATTATTTATAATGGCCAGGAAATAGAAACAGCCCAAAAGTCCATTGACTGATGGGTAGATACATGGAGTGTGGTATATCCATTGAAGGAAATATTATTCAGTAATAAAAAATAATGCTACAACATGAATGAACCCTGAAAACATTATGCCACGTTAAAAAAGCCAGTCACATATTCTGTGATTCCCATTTATTTGAGATGATCAGAATAGGCAAATCCGTAGAGACAGAAGAATAAATCAGTGATTGCCAGGGGCTGAAGTGTGACTGCTAATGGGGTGGGAGTTTCTTTTAGGGGTGATTACAAACATTCCAAAACCAATTGTGGTGATGGTTGCTAAAGATATGCTAGAAACCACTGAACTGTAAACTTTCCATGAATGAATTGTATGATCCATGACTTATAGCTCAGGAAAGTTATTTGTTTGTTTTTTTAAACCCACTTAATCTCATTCTCTTAGAATTATGTCAGTTATTGGGGCGCCTGGGTGGCTCAGTCATTAAGCGTCTGCCTTCAGCTCAGGTCATGATCCCAGGGTCCTGGGATCGAGCCCCACATCGGGCTCCCTGCTCCACAGGAAGCCTGCTTCTCCCTCTCCCACTCCCCCTGCTTGTGTTCCTTCTCTCCCTTTGTCTCTCTCTGTCAAATAAATAATAAAATCTTTAAAAAAAAATTATGTCAATTATTAATCAAGCAAGGTTCTCGAGTTTTTCAGATACTCATGTTGAATACTTTTTTAAAAAAATGCTGACTCCCAGGGGCACCTGGGTGACTCAGTCGTTAAGGGTCTGCCTTCAGCTCAGGTCATGATCCCAGGGTCCTGGGATCGAGCCCCACATCGGGCTCCCTGCTCCACGGGAAGCCTCCTTCTCCCTCTACCAGTTCTCCTCCTTGTGTTCCCTCTCTCGCTGTGTCTCTCTCTGTCAAATAAATAAATTAAATCTTAAAAAAAAAATGCTGACTCCTGCTAACATTTAGCTACTCTGGATAATTACTTATTAACAGAAATAATACTGTCAAAATATTCTGCGTGTCCAATCAGTCATAAAGATAAACACATTTCAAAATCCTTTTTGAAAGAAAAACAAACCACAAAAGACATTGTAGACATTGGCCTAAGTCATGTACTTTAAAAAGTACCTATTAAGAATGACTTGGCATTTTGGGGTTTTGTTCCCCTGACTTGCCTGGGATTCAATCCTCAGCTCAACCAATAAATGTAGAGGCTGCAGCCCTAGTGACTATTACTTGTAGAGACCCCTGAAAGGAGACCAGATGGCTCAGGGAGTGGGCAAAGGATCCTTGGGGCCCCTTACCACCCAGCTGGGGCCCTGCTGGTAAAAGTCACTGATAGTCACGTGGCATTGATTTAGATCAGCATTTCTCAACTTCGGCACTATTGGGGGACAGATAATTCTTTGTTGGGTGTGGGTGGGTGGGTATTTCTTGTGCTTTACAAAGGATTTTTAACAGCACCCCTGGCCTCTAAAATTAGACAGTGTCATCCCCTAATCATGACACCAAACATGTCTCTAGACATTATCCCCCAGGGTTGCAAAATTGCCCCTATTTGAGAACCACTATCTAGATGACTCCAGAACACAAGACAACCTGGGAACAGAAGAACTAGTCCTGAGGAATTGGGATCTAGTTTTCTGAGAAAATGCTCCCCAAAGAATGGTGCGAGAAAGTCATGTTGTTCGTATCAGCTCGCAGAGAGAATGTTTCAGCCTGCATTGAGTGAAGGTCCAGAAAAGAGAGGGGCAGGGGCCATGGCTTCCCCTGATAGTCCACCGAGCCCCTTCACACACTGCCCTCATGATCCTCAAGCAGTCTGTGAGGAGTGAGGCACCTGCTGTCAGCCCCATTGTGAGATGAGAAGACTCAAGTCCAAGGCCACGTGGCCAGAACGAAGCTCCTCAGATCTGCTGACTCATCCTTCTCCCTCCTTCCTTCTCTTCATGGGGCTGCTACCCTCTAGGTCTTGTATAGCTGGGAAAAGAGTTCTGGGCAAACGTGTGGCCTCCGAGTGGGACAGTGACAAGGGGGTAGGTTCTACCCTGCCTCAGCCCCTTGCTGCAGCTGGTAGCCTCAGGCAGCTCACTCGGCTTGCCTGGAAAATTTGGTTTGCTCACGTATGGGAACACTGGACTCTCTCCTGTCTGAGGGGCCTGCATCCTGTTACTCCAGCCCAAAGCAGCCTGTCCTGCATGTGTTGTATTTACAGTTTCAGTTTTCCCATAAACTCTATCTTCCCTGCCCCCAGCCCTGACCTCTAGAGCGTTCCCATTTCACAGATGGAGAAATGAACACCAGAGATAAGCCACCTGCCTTGGCCACACAGCTGGACTTGAAGCCAAGTCTTATAGTCCTTACTCTACTAATGGAATGGGAACAAAGGAGGGATCCCTGGAGCCAGCAGGGGAGGGACACCTGGTCCTTTCCCACCCTGGCTCAAGCTAGGGCTGGACTCTGGTGCATTCCCTCCCACAGCAGGCTAGGCAGAGAGGATGTGCTAGTCCGGGAGCCTGAGCTCCCTGGGTCTGTGTGGCCCCTAAAAGGGAGAGTAAAAACCTGTCCCTGAAGCTTTGAGCAGTTCTCTGCTTTGCAATTGGAAGAGACTAGGATTTATCTCTGAATTCCTTTATTCTAAGGAAAACACCTCAATGGCCCTTCTAATACTGAAATGTCACATCAAACTCTTCTAAAATGGCTCAGTCGGGAGAGCATCTGACTCTTGATCTCAGGGTCATGAGTTCGAGCTCCATGTTGGGCGTAGAGATCACTTAAATAAATAAAACTTTTTTAAAAATGGAGATATTGGAAACCTAAGGAAAAGAGATTAGCCATGGGACAGATGAGTCTCAACTAAGAAACCAGGACAGCGGAGAGAGTGTTCCAGCATCTGGCCTGGATTAGAGCCCCTGTGGGCAGAGGGAAAGGCGGAGGGACAGGGTGCACGGGGTTGGAAAGGAGGCCCTGGGTGGGGACCGGGATAAGTGCCTTCAGGACATCTGGTCTCCCCAGTGCGAACCATCGGCCAGGTGCCTGAGCAGCTTCTCTGGGAGCATCTTGTGTAAAAGCAACCAGGAAGCCCTCTGAGAGGGCCAAGTCCCACCTGGGGCAGAGGAGGCAGGAGGAGCTGTAGTCAGTCACACTACTGTGGGTGTTGGGGAGTGATCTCATGCTCTGTTACACACAAGCCTGGCAGCACACAGGTGACCCTGAGAATAAGCACACCTCCCCAGATTGTGAATCATAGCATTATTGCAAGGAGTGTTCACCAGGCTCTGGTTTTCAAAAGGCTCTGCACATTAGCAAAAGCGTAATAAGAAACCTAATTATAGTTGTTTTGTAGGTAGGCCAATAGTTACCTATAAAACATGCTTGCTGATTTAATGAGCAAAATCGAATTTCATTGTTTATTAATTTGAATTTCTTGGATTATTTCTGAAGTCAAATATGTTTCTAAACTTTTAGTGGACCCTTGTATGGTGGGCTATGTGTTGCCTGATTCAGTTATTTGCCTCCTAAGGAGCGTTTGGGTTTGTTTTGTTGTTGTTGGTTTGTTTCCAGCTATACATCAGGTCTTTATTTTTCCTGATCTATGATGTATCTTCTTTTTAAAGTAATCTTTTTAGATGAAGTCACATAACACAATTAACGATTTTAAGTGAACGGTAAATGCATTTAGTACATTCACCGTGTTATGCAACGACCACCTCTAAATGATTCCAAAACATTTCCATCACGTCAAGTACACATTTTTCCCCACAGTGTTGAAATCGTTTGATCATCTAACAACAACAAAAAAAAACTCTTTAATCACTTTAATTCCTAATATAAAAATACAAGTTGATAATTACATATTGTGTAATACAGAAGGTTCTCTATGGTGGACATTTGGGTAACAGCTGAGATGCCAATGTAAGTTCATGATGTTCAAAAAAATGCATTCACTACAGTTTGCTTTGCAATATGACTAAATCTAATTCTTTTTGCAAAAATAGGATGGTCGGGACGAAAGGTACCAAAAAAGTGATTTCTTTTCCTTTTTATTCCAAATGTTTCTTATAATATTTTTGCTTATTAATTACTTGGTTAAATTTTCCTGGCATGTGGGATTTGTATTCTGTGCCACACGCTTCCTGGACCCAGTCCAATTATGCTCATTGCCCCTGCTCCTGCCAGCTCTCAGGGCTAGGACCAACTGTCCAACGTGCTAACAAAGAAATTGTCAGATGTGAAAGAAGAGGGATGAGGGTCTCTGGGACCTATTTGAGGCTTTCTTTCTGATGAAAAATGCATTGAAAAAGAGAATTCTGCTGGGAAAGAGTGATCTGAAGCCTTTCAAAGGTATAAATATTAAAACAAAAACAAAGAACTCACAAGTTTTTAACTTTCCATAGTAGCTCTGGGCTCTCTTCCCATATGTCAGGAAGGCATCTAAGAGCATTTGCCTTAGGTCAGAGGTCAATATACTTTTTCTATAAAAGGTCAGGTAGTAAATACGTAGGCTTAGTGGGCCACATGCATCTCTGCTACGTATTCTTCATGGTTGCTGTTTTTAACACCCCTTTAAAAATATAAAAACAAGGTGACTGGGTGGCTCAGTTGGTTAAGTGTCTGCCTGTGGCTCAGGTCATGATCCCAGGGTTCTGGGATCGAGCCCCACATTGGGCTCCCTGCTCAACAGGAAGCCTGCTTCTCCATCTCCCTCTACCCCTCTCTGCGCCCCCTCCCACACACTTGCTCTCACCTTCTCTCACTCCGTCTCTCTCAAATAAAATAAAAATTAAAAAATGAAATAAAAATATAAAAACCATTCTTAGCTCTGGGCCATATTCAAAAAACAGGCCTCTGGGCAGATTTGGTCCACTAGCTGCCATTTGATGATCTCTGCTTTGTGGGCCCAGAAAAAAGCATGTTACAGAGGTGGGAGAATGGGTTTCCCCATGGACTGTCCTCTCAGCAATGCATCCTCTTGTTCAAGCCTTCATCTGTTTCTTCAACAGGTGGTTGTACGATTTAGACTGGAAATTTCTAAGGCTCATTCTATGTTCTGTAACTGTCCCAGATGACCTAGCTAAAGATACCTCCTATTGTTGCCAGGCATGCCCCCTGTCTTCACCCAAAGCCTCAGCATCATTCAGAACCTCAGCCTCAGATCCATACCCTTCTACTCTGAGCCCAGCATCCCCTTCTTCAGGAAGCCCTCACAGGTGACAGTTGGCTAAGAGCGCAATGAGTGAGGGAAGATTGAGCGTGTAAGAACAATGTCTGTGCATTAAGAAACAGAGCAATCAAAAAGAAATAAAACTACCAACCTGAGACAGGACTCCTTTCTTCTTGCAGTTGGTCCCTCCAATGAAAACCATGTTGGGCATGACCGGTCTGGGATACTCAAACACAAAGTCATATCTTAACAGCCAAACGGAGCCCTTCCGATACAAGGTGGGTACGTGCACATCTCTCTTGAGGATATTGGAGGGGAGGTCTTCATACTTTGAATACAGGCATTAGAACAGATAGGTCTCCAAGTAATTAACGAGGTAGTTGGCCACCCGTTGGGGGAACGTCATCTGGTCTGAGAACTGAGTGTAGCATCTGGGAATATGGGACACAGGGTTTGGGCTCCTGCTCATCATATGCTCCAGGGAGCATGGGAAGCCCCCGAAGAGGTACACAGAGGGCAGGCTCAGGTACTCGGCCAGGATGACCCCGCAGGGTAGGGCTGGTTCTGTGAAAAGGGCATCGAACTTGCTCTCCCTGAGGACACTCAGGGTGGCCGGGGTCCTCCAGGAGGCTCTGGCAGTTGGTGAAGTACATGTCAATAACCATCATGCTATTCCTGTACTCCATCTGAGCAGCGTTCGGGAGCCATGTCTCAGCAAAGTGATCGTTTCCAAAAAAGTGGTAACGATTCCCCAGCTCTTTCTGATCGAATGGCACCGGGTAGCTTCTTCTTGTGTAGTGCTTGGATTCCTTCAGAAGCAAATTGACTTCTGGTACCAGCACCACAATGTTGTGCCCCCTCTGACTGAGGAGCTCAACTATGTCCTTCATACTGAGCCAGTGGCTTCCATCCTGAGGGACCACCAGCAGCTTGTCACCTACAACCCCCGCCCAGAGCACTAAGAGGAGAACTTTCTGAAACATGTGGAGGAGGCAGGCCATCTGGGGGAGAGTACAGGTAGCAACAAGAATAAACAGTTCAGGCTCTCTAAACCTCACGGGCTCCTGGCTCTCTTCCCTAAACAAACTAGTGCTCTTTATAGCCCCTGCTCACCTCTCCTTGCTCTGAATTTTGCCCCTTGTTTTAAAAGAACCTAAATTAATATTTAACCATTTTTATGGTTCAAGTGAACCTGAACCAATGAGGTCTCTTACCAGATTTCACCTGAGCTTCTGGGTTTATTTTTCTCTTTCTCTCCACCATTCAGCCTCCCCTTCCCAAACCCAGTCACACTTGGAGGACAGCTTGTGAGGGCCCTGGAGGCTGGTGGCAGGCCTCTGTCCTGAGTTTTCTGGGTTCCACAGCATGGGGATGATGTCCACAGACGAATTGCTCTTAGCCCTGCTCTGCTTCCTCAACTTTTCTCCAAGAGGAAGTGTCAGCAGATGCCAAATTCAAGATTTGAAACAAGAGAACGGAGCTGCCTACTCCAGCTCCTGGTGATCCGGTTACCGCAGCCCATAGCTGGATTAAAAAGTGGCCTGCAGGAAGCTGAGGGGACACAGAGGAGTCTGATCTAGCTCCCCCCGTTCTCTGGGGTCAACCACTGTTCGGGGGAGCTTTCTGTTCTATCAGAGACGGAATCTAATCCTGAAGATACATGCTCTAAAACCAGAATTCCCACTTTGACCATGGTTAAAAGCAAAAGTTTTGGAGTCAGCCCACCCCTGTCGAGCTGTGCATTCCCACTGCTCTGTGCCTGACTTCCCCATCTCTCAAACGGGAGTTGCCTCTGTACCACCCCCCGGAGGGGTGGGGGGAGGCCTGTGAAAATTAGTGAGTCAGTTTGTAATCTGCGGGTGCCCAGGAGAGGTCCCTTGGAGGGGCTCCCTCTGGCTGTCATCAGGCAGCTGGGTTCTATGTGATATGAACGAAGGAGCACTCTGGTGGTCAGAAAGTAGCCCCTAAAGTCTCAGCAATTGAAAGATCCAGCTCTACACTGTCAACGCAAGAGTATAGGAGGAATACAAGGGGACAGAAGAGGAGGTGGAAAGATTAAAAGGGAAGAAAATGTAGAAATATAAAACCATGGGAATGCGTCCCGTGACAAGGCATTTGACAATAGCAACTGACCAACCAGCAGTCAAAATAAAAAGGAGGCTCTAGCATCGGGAGCCTTGACACCTGTAGAATGCTTTCTGGCTTGCAAAACAGGTTCCCATTGTCTTAGCGTCCTAGGGTCTCTGCAACAAAGTATCACACACTGGCTGGCCCAGACAGAAATGTATTCCCATAGTTCTGCAGGCCGGAAGGCTGAGACCAAGGCATCAGCAAGGCTGAGTCCTTCTGAAGGCTCCAAGACAGAATCTGTTCCTCTCTCCTAGCTCCTGGTGGTTTGCTGGCAATCTTTGGCATTACTAGATAGACGCAGGCATCACTTCGTCTCTGCCTTCATGTTCACCCTTCTTCCTGTGTATGTCTGGGTCTGAATTTACCCTATTCATTAGGACACCAGTCATACTGGATTAGCGCCCACCACCAATGATCTCCCCTTAACTAACATATTTCCAAAAAAGGTCACATTCCGAGGTCCTGGGTATTAGGACTTCAACACATCTTTCCAGGGATACAAGTTAACCCATAGCGCTCATCTATCATCTCACACAATTCAAACCCCAAAGTACAGGTCCGATCATCCTTGTACATGCGAGAAACTGAGGCTTGCTGCTTTACAGAAAGGGCATTTTGGGGGAACTTCTGCAGCTCAGAAGGAAATACAAGAACTGGACCCTTCCAGACCCGCCGTTCTCAAACGTTTCCATCTCAGGACTCCTTTACCCTCTTGGCAACAATGGAAGACCCCCCCCAAAACTTTTGTTTATGTGGGCCATGTCTATCCAGATGAACTCTTTCAGAAACTAAAACTGACACATATAAAAAAGACTTCCTCGGGGCGCCTGGGTGCCTCAGTCGTTAAGTGTCTGCCTTCGGCTCAGGTCATGATCCCAGGGTCCTGGGATCGAGCCCTGCATCGGGCTCCCTGCTCCGCGGGAAGCCTGCTTCTCCCTCTCCCACTCCCCCTGCTTGTGTTCCCTCTCTCGCTGTGTCTCTCTCTGTCAAATAAATAAATAAAATCTTTAAAAAAAAAAAAAAAGACTTCCTCACTCATTTACAATAACAAGAATAAGCCCATGACAAGTTAGCATGACTGACGTCTTTTGTGAAAAAAATACTCTATTTCCCCAAAGAAACAAAAAATTGGTCAGAAGCGCGACATTGTTTTACACATTCTGCAAGCAAGCCCTTGTGATATGAACGTCTGTCTGGCTTGGTAGAGGACAGCAGGACTCTGCCACCCGCCTCTGCACTCAGCCTATCCAACACCACACCTTACAGAGCCTTTGGAAAACTCCACGGTACCATGGTGAGAAGATGAAGTGGAAAAAGCAAGTAACGTCTTAGCACTATTATGAAATCATTTGATCTCAGAGACTCCAGGAAGGGTCTCAGGGATCCCTCAGTTTCTGTACTTTGAGAATCACTGCTCCAGATCAGGGGATGGCAAATTTTTTTTTTCTGGAAAGGCCTAAATAGTACATATTTGAGTTTGTGTAGGCCCTTGCCCTAGTTAATGATACAAGCCAAGAGATCACCTCTTCCCTGTCCTCCATATCCACATGGTTCACTCTCTCCCTTCATGTCAGCTTTGGTCAGTGTCATGTCCAAGAGACCTTCTCCGGTGAGCTCATTATTAAATAACCCAGCCCAACACTAGAAAGCCCTTCACCCTCCTTATATTTCTCTGTTTCATTCATCACTACCTAACCTATTGTTTACTTATGCGTCTCTCCTGACTAGAATGGGAGCACCCTGAGGGCAGGAACAATATTTGTTTTGTTCTCTGCTGTATGTCCTGTGTCTAGAACAACGCCGAGCATACAGTAGGCTCTCCACAAATGTTTGCTGATTAATGAATGAGACTTTGGTTTACCTGTTTTTTTCCTACATTTCTTTTTTTCCTTTTTTTTCTTTTTTTTCTTTTTTTAAGCAGACTCCATGCCCAGCATGGAGCCCATCACAGGGCTTGAACTCACCACCCTGAGATCAAGACCTGAGCTGAAACCAAGAGTCAGACGCTTAACCAACTGAGCCGCCCAGGCACCTCCCTCCTACATTTCATTTTCAGGATTCTTTCCAAGTTGTGAGAATTCACATATGAAATTTAAGGAACCATGTGCTCTTTTTTGAGAAGAAACTGGTCAATGGCATTATGAGCATGTGATGGGTCACTTGCCTTTTAGGAAGTTAAGATCTGAGAAGTCTAAGTGTAGCCAGCAGGTGGTGAGGGCCCTGGAGCAGGATTTGGACAGCTTGGCGCCCACTTCCAGCCCTGCTCCCTGTCAGCCTGGGGCATGACCCATCTCCTGACTGGTTTCTCAACTGAGACCCAGAGAGAGGATCATATTTATCCTACCACATGACCGAGGGAGGTCCAAGAGGATGATAGATGTGGAAACAGGCTGTCTAAGTGAAAGGTGGTTCCTGGCATGGCTAGAACAGACTTGCCCACAGATAGTCACGCACAACTGAACTGTCACAAAAGGTCTTGTCATAACCCATGCCTGTTGGCTCAAGAGGCATGCTGGGACCTAGGAAAGGAGAAGAAGCCTGAGGAATGGCACAGAAGGCACCATCCCAAGCACATCCCCAGGAACGCAGCCAAGATGCAAATTCATTGCAACCTCCTCCAGGGAGGGACACCAGCAAGATTCCCCACTTACAATGATCAGAGTCTGGAGGGGGGCAGCATCCTGGTTTGTGTCCATCTAGATAGCAATAAGACCCCAAGATGGTTACAAAGTGAGCACAGAACAGGTCCACCCCTCCAGAGCAGGCAGAAGCTAAGCAGGTCCTTTCTAAGAGCAATACATTGGGAGGCAGAAAGGCTTAAGCAAGTATGTGGAGGTGGGAGAAGCGAGATGTGCTACAGACCTCAGCTGCTTCACACCAGACCCCCATTCTGCTGAGGACCTTGGCCTGGGCCCTTCCTAGCAGAGCCTTGCTCTGGTCTTTGTGTTGTTCAGCAAGAAGGCTGGGAAAAGGGGGCAGAGCAAGATTGTGGAGGAGTAGACCTGGATTTCATCTGGTCTCAGGAATTCAGCTGGATAGGGATCAAGCCATTCTGAACACCTATGAACTCAACAGGAGATCGAAGAAAAGAATAGCAACAACTCTCTGAACAGAAAAGCGACCACTTTCTGGAAGGTCTTTTCTGATTTGTTTAGAGTATATTTTCTGGGGACATCGTTACCCTGTTAGCATTTTGTTCTCTCATTCATCTATTCTCCTCTGCACAAAATGACAAGACGGAAAAAATCACCTCAACAAAAAGAACAAGAGGCAGTACCAACTGCCAGGGACCTACTCAATATGGACATTAGTACAATGTCAGACCTAGAGTTCAGAATGATGATTTTAAAGATACTAGCTGGGCTTGAAAAAAGCATGGACATTATTAGAGAAAACCTTTCTGGAGAAATAAAAGAACTAAAATCTAACCAAGTTGAAATCAAAAAGGCTATTAATGAGGTACAATCAAAAAGGGGGGCACTAACTGCTAGGATAAATGAGGCAGAAGAGAGAATCAGTGATATAAAAGACCAAATGATGGAAAATAAAGAAGCTGAGAAAAAGAGAGATAAACAACTACCGGATCATGAGAGCAGAATTCGAGAGATAAGCGATACCATAAGATGAAACAACATTAGAATAATTGGGATCCCAGAAGAAGAAGAAAGAGAGAGAGGGGCAGAAGGTAGATTGGAGAAAATTATAGCAGAGAACTTCCCTAATTTGGGGAAGGAAACAGGCATCAAAATCCAGGAGGCACAGAGAACCCCTCTCAAAATCAATAAAAATAGGTCAACACCCCAACATCTAATAGTAAAACTTACGAGTCTCAGAGACAAAGAGAAAATCCTGAAAGCAGCTCGGGAGAAGA